TCATGTGAAAAGATATCGGGCCAACTGTTGGTATCTGATGCGATATTTCAATTTATAAGAAAAGCTATAAATGTGGTATATGACGTCAATTCCACTTCCCAACGACGTAGTTGGTATATAGTGACAAGCTACAGAAAATGAACTTCAACAATAATACACAAATACAAAAATATATGTAGCTCATCGATAGTACCAAGAAGCTGTCTTTACCTACAATTGGAAAATCTCCAAATAACAGAAGATACTCCATAGTCCTAGAAGAAAGTACCACAATACATGTCAGAACTACTCCAGATGAATGACAAAGCGCTAGTATATCCATGTGATTTGCAGCAATTAATATACACAACCATAGAAGATGAACTGAACTTATGCACCTCTAGAGATTTCAGGGACAATGTACAGTCATCCATATCTGGATCTTTCTGAATGATGCTACCTGATCACCTAAGGATACAATGCATTTTTCTGCAACGTAAAGAGAGCACATGGAGATCACCATATGTGCTACTTCAGTAGCCTTCAACTTCAGGGAAATGCATATTGACATATATCAAAGAATGAAATTCAAGATGCAAGGCTGCCTAAAGTTTGCATAACCTATTACATCTTCTAGAAAAGCTATGTCTACTATCTTGTTCGTATACCCCAAAAACTTGACTTAGAATTTAAATGCTTAAAAGTTTTCCTTCTTAAAGGATAAGAATTCAAATAAATATAAACTAGTACCATTATATGTTATTTAAACCTGATGTGACATTTGAAAACAATGTTTTCAAACTTTGTTTACCTAAATTCCATGCTTGCCAAAGTAGGTACATACTAGAATTAAGGAGGTTCAATTGCACTCGCATATACCTAGTGAATCAATGAACTTCTAAATAAATGGAGCTCCATTTAGAAAGAACATGGCCAAGCAAAGCAAGAAGAAGGTTAAGAACAATATGGTCCAATACATTACGAGCAGTAAAGGTTGATTTTTGGATGGATATGATCGTGCAAACTTACATCAGAGCTGCTTATGTTCAGTGTTAGGAAAAAAGTGAAAAAGTACCGAAAAACAACTACCAGGAGTAGTTAGAAGAAGAAGGTTTACAGGGTATAAAAGTGACAAAGTAAAGAAATTTCACATGGTTTTTATAGGTCATTTAGTTCTCAAAATTACATTGTGATAGATGCTCAATTCTATGGCCTTTAAAAATGCATTCCGAGGTAATAATAGGAGGAAAGCTTACTGATTTACAACGAAAAAAGTTATGAAAATATCACTAATATAATAGTATAAATTATGCCAGCTTGAATCAGGAAAACCAGAGACTTGAATGACACCTAAATTTCCAGTCAAATAGTATCCAGAAGATTAGCTGACAGGGTATGGACAGATAATTAGACTTTAAAGGATCACGTCAAACGTCAGAACCGATTTACAATTCATTTTCTCTTTACATTTACAATAATATTTCTCTTTATAACTTAAAAAATGAACCTGTAGATGAACAAATACCTGACCTCAAGACCTCAGCAATTATCTCTGCATGAAAAATGAATGCACATAATAAAATTAAATGTTCAAAATCCAAAAAATTGAACATTACAAGGCGAAAAGGATAAAAAAGAGGCAAAAATTTATACCAGACAAGCAATTAAAGATGACAAGAACATTATGTTGCAAGTAATGCTTTAAGACAAAGGAATGAAAATCAATAGAAAATAAAAAATAAAAAATAAAAAGAGAGAGAAGAACCCTGTGAGCATGTGAAACTAAAGTTGGGCACTTCTCTTCCTGGTGCAGAAACTGAAATCAAAGAGGCCACAAAAATTTACCCAAACCGAATTTAATTTTAGTCCTAATCACAACTTTTTTGTTGTGTGGATAAATTAGCAACCAAATACAACACTCATAGCCACAAAATAGAAACAACCAAGAAAGAGAAACATAGACAAAACATGGATTATTACTGATCTACATGTAAATACCTTAATCCAATCGCAAACCCAAAATCACAAAGCTTAATACTTTAACAAAAAAATAAGAGTAATTCAAGGTTCCTGGAATTTAGGAAATGACTGCTATATATTGTGTAGGTCAAGAATAGTCCTTTTTCTCAAACTTCAACCATTCACCCATGCACAACACCAAAGAAAATAGAAAATAAAAATTATTATAACCTAAGAAAAATAGGGCTACGAAATTATTAACTTTCTTTTTCTTCTTGTCCTTTCTGGGTTTTGAGGCCCCCAAAAAACGTACAGAATGAGTTCAAGAAAAGATTACAAAAACTTGCCTTTAAAATGAAGAACGAGCTACAAGATTTAAAAAAACAGCAAAAGTTCAAAGAACCATAGCAGCGTTTATGTATGAAATTATGTTTAAGGGAGTAGCAACAAAGTGGGGCCTTTTGTTTCTTTTTTCCCTTTTGGTGTTTTCTTCTTTGTTTCCTTGGGGTGGGGGTGTTGGGGTGGGGGTCAGAGACAAGAGGCCACTGATATTTCGACAGATGGGCACATGTGTTTCAATGAGATAAGGACTCATAATCTCAAGTGGGCCGGGCCAGCCCAATCACAGCCCGATTCGACCCGGGTCAGCCCTGTACACTAGGGGGACATGTTGGGAGGGTTGGGGGAGCCGGGCGGGAACAAATATATTTTGGTAACCGGTGCCCCGGAACCCGGTTACCCTTTACCGGATTTTTACCGGGCTACAACCCGGTTACCGTTGTAACATTTTTATTTTTATTTTAAATTTTTTGAACGTTGCCAACGGTCAAATTCAAAAATGACCGTTGGACAACGGCCATTTTTGTAAAAATGGCCATTTCGGCCTACCCCTAAGAAAATAGCCCCTCACCCCTAATAATTGATAAATCATAATTTTAACCTTTTAAAAATTATAAATATCTTCGCTTTTTCATTTTTTCCTCATAATTTGCTCTTTTACTACTCTAATTCTTTCTCAATTCTCTATGTTGCTTATTGCTCTTAAATTCTCAATTACTTATTATTTCAAGTTTTATCAAATATTTACTTTAGTCACTACAAAATTATAATTATCAAATATCAAGTATTCAAGTGAAGTGTCATCAAATATCAAGTATTAGTCTATCAACTGAAGCTTGATATCAAATTTAGTGCGGCATCCGGAATCCCGGTACACTCCTTCCATCTCTTTCTTTTCTTTGGTGTATATTTTTATTTTATTATTTAGAATTATCAATTTAGTTTCTTAATTTAATTTACATAATGGATATATTTAGAGCAGCCAAAAAATGTGTACTAGTAGGGGTGATAATAGTAAGAGTAAGACTTCTAAAAAATCAAGAGGTAGTGCTAGTTCTTCTAGTAACTTTACACATATTTCTGAAAGTTCACCTGAAAATTTAAATGTATATTATGAGCAACTTCAAGAAAATTATGGTATAGATGATAATTTAGATGATATTCAATCACCTAATAATTTTGAAACACTACCAGCTACACCTGGTAATGCTAGTCAAACTCAAAATACTAGGGATAGAAGTCGTGGTAATACATATAGGCCTTCCCTCCCTATTAAGAGGAATCGAAGTTTAAGAAGCAAGTGTTGGATTTTTTTTGAAAGACTAGAAGAAGATAAAAATTATGTAAGATGTCAAATTTGTAAGGAAATTTATAAATATGAGACCGGAGGTAAGGCAGAGGGAACGGGTCAACTTCGTAGGCACATGGTAGATAACAACCCTATTGTATGGGGTGTTGATGAGGAAGGTGGGCAACAAAAACTTAACCTGGGTACTAGCGGTTTAATGGGTAAATGTCACGACTCAAAATCCCACCTCAGACGTCGTGATGACACTTAGTCTCTAAGACTAGGTAGGCCGATTACAACTTTAAACTTAATCGGACGTCCGGTAAAGCTTTAAAATCTAAGACTAGGTAAGCCGATTACAATTTTAAAATCCCACCTCAGGCGTCCAGTTACTTTAAACTTTAATTATAAACCTTAAAAGTTTGCAAACACTTAGGTATCAATAACATTGAATAAGAAAAATAAAATATACTAAAAAAAAAAAAAGTAACCCGGCCCAGTCCTGACCCGTTAAGCCCAAACCCGAATGGACCCTAATTAAACCGAAATTTCCCAACCCATTATCAGCTCGTTTATCCAGCCCACTAACCAGCCCGGAACAATAACTGGACGGGCTATTCTTTTTCGTGTCCAGCCCGTCCGGTTAACACCTATAACTCATATTCACACCTCTTTTGCTTGGGAGACTAGAATTTGAAGTAGATGACAAGGACCACGAGTCTCACTTTAGGGGCTTACGCGGCGCGAATTCGGATATAGTTGGGCCCCAATATGGATATCGGATAAAAAAAGTCTCATTTTAATCAAGAGGCGATTCCATATTTAAGTTCAAATTCAAATTACAACAACAACAACAACAACAAGAACTCTTCATCCTTCCCTCCAAGAACTCTTCACCTTGCTCTTGGGGTGACTCGAACTCACAACCTCTTGGTTGGAAGTGGAGAGTGCTTACCATCAGAGCAACCCACCTTGTCTTCAAATTCAAATTAGTATTGGAATTATAGTACTACTAAAATTTTGGAAAATTTCATTAACTTCCCCCACACAGTTTCTTTTTGCACTATTTCTTCTTCTTCTTTTTTTAATTTTTATGGAACCTCTTTGTTTTAGCCATAAAAAAACGTTTGCGCCAATCTAATAAATATAGAACACGTGTGTTATACTTATGACTTAACCATAATTGATTGATATATCATTTAATCTCAATTATCACTAAGCATAATAAACTAATATAGTTTAGTATAAACATAGAATGTAATTAAGTTTTCCCGACTTAGCCACTATGACGTATCAAATTTGATGTTATCATCGGACTTTTATATGCTGCGCCAAACATAGACCACCAATTAAATTAAGGTATTGAAAGTTAGAAACAAATTCTACTAATAGATTAAAACAAAAATTTCTAAGAGTTCATTCTTCTCTTCGCTAGTTCAGAATTCTTTGTTCTTCATTCATTCAAACAATATCATTTATAAATACAAAACCCAACCTTAATGATGAGTTTTACAATAGGGTAAAAGAGACAACCAATATTCCCGCACTCGAATTGTGAAACAAGCACTATTCTACTGTATGAGGAATATGTATTCAACCAGTCGTTAACTCCAAAATGAGAGCCAATATATGCTGCATGATTGAGATGACACTGGACCTCAAAAATAAACATGAACCATCTTAGAGTAAACTTGAGCTCTCGCGGAGAACATTACATCAGGAGTTTCATTAATTTCAGCTCTTACTCAATCCAAAATTACTCTCAAAGTATGTTCTCTTGCAGAAAAATGAACTTAAATTCCATTCACAAATAGATAAATAGATGAAGTTCATATGAATGATGAATCAAAAACGATCCTTTCTTTTACGTGCTGTGTATTTGGTATCTGCAGGCACTGTATTCCCCTTTCTCCTCATCTGTTCTTTCTTCTTCAGAACCCAATCTCTTCCTTTGCCTCTCTTATTCACTTTTTGCTTTTTTCTAGGTCTGTGCCTATCAGATACGAAAACCTGCATGGTAGGGTGAAAAGATAATTAGATAACCAAAGACTGACAGAATAAGAGGGGGAAAAGAAAACAGGAAAAACGAGGGGGTTTAGGAGGAAAGGGGGAAAGAACACTTACTGTCTGGTTTTCTTCATCCCCGCTACTATCTTCATCAGAGCAACTCTCTCCATCTTCACCCTTTCCGTTGGGAGTGATGGAGCTAAGAGATGGCGGGCCACAAGTGAGCACTAAGTACTCTTTCCTCCTTTTAGTACTGTGACAAGAGAGAGCATCCAGTGTCAAGTCAGTACACCAATTATCAAAGAGTTCAATCTTCATACCTTGAAAATTCATCTCTTTGCATCAGATTTTAAGGTATATCTAACATACATGTTTTGCCTTTCCTTCCCTCATTTTTAGCTAATTCTAGTTCAGTCCCTTCATTATTGTGTGTACACATTTAATCTTCAATCCTCAGATATACTCCAACTACTTTGGTATGAGAAAGAAGAGAAGAAATTGGGAAGACACAGTGAGCACGCATGCAACTTTAAAGGGGACAGCCTCTCGGTGTTGCTCGCACAATAATTCCTATATCTTCTAAAAGCTAGAAGTTAGAGTAGGGACACTATGCTTAATTATGTCTTTAACGGATCGAATCCACTGAGCCTTTGGAGGTTGAGTGGAGGAACACCTGACGGTCACATCTAGGTGGTTGTTTTAAGTATTTATTTAAAATTGATTGATCCTGCTTGTAGAGGGATTAACCTATACCATTTTGGATAAACTAAGGTTGATGTATTAAGAGTGATAACATGAGGTCTACCACTAGAATTAAGCTTTAATGTAGACACAATTAGCAATGCCATATAAAGCTTCCTGGGGAATACATGCCTTCTAATTTCATTTCAGGGGATGAGCTTCCAGACAGGAAAACCGATGTTGATCTCCTTACTGTTTCACCTTTTATTCTTTCAGTTGTGTAAGCCTTCCATCTCACCATAAAACTAGCAAAAATGAAGAACAGAGGATGTTTATAAGCTTCTTCTCTACCTGTGGGGGTAGTCAACAACTATGCCTCCAGAAAAACCAGCTCGCATGGCAAAACCCAGTATCAACTCCCGCTGAGCGATATTTTCAGGATAGACTTGAAGTACTGCTCTTGCGCCTCTTCCCAAACATCTATATAAGGAACCAAAGAATGCCCTACAGAAATTTTTGATGAAGTAATCAAAATGCATTAATAAGGCATCAAGAAGATGCAGAATTACAAAAGGAGAAGGAACAGCTCCAGTATAAACCAGGAGCTATCATGGAAAAAAACTGTAAACAGCAAAAGATTATCCCCAATACAGTAACTATGCTATAACTATGCTAATATCAGGGAACTAACAAAATCCAAAAAATTATCAACACTGTTTACGGGGGTGCGAAAATTTCAACTGAACAAACTAACTATTGTAGGTTTCACACTACTTGTTCAATACTGCTGACATAATAATTGAATCTTGGGCAGATCAGTATCCACCAACAATCAATCTAAGATAGAATGAACTCACACTTACTTCAACCTTAACCGAGGTTCATGAGAGGACTTGTCAGCATTGCAGAGCCACTGCTCAAGCAAATAAAGAACATTAGTAGTAAGCAAGAACCAAGCATAGCAAGTATGATAGACATGGCAAGAGAACCAAGAGTTGAGATGTTAAAAAAAAGATCATTCAAACCTAACCTATATAGTCAACTGAAAGAAGCCCGCTTACCGCTCCCTTTTCCCCTAGACACTTTGCCCTCTTAATTTGTATATGTCAAAAGGACTACAATCAATTGAAAATGCCTTTTGCTTAAAAAGTATGACTAAGTGCGTGCAAGCTAACCTGAACACCATTGTTAATTTGAAACAGAAAAAAGATGCCTAACTCACAGGTGTGTACACACACAGACACGTGTTTATATGGGTGAGTATGATAAAATAAGTAGTACTATCTTTTTTCCTTTTAATCTTTTTATACTGTGTCCTCATAATCATCTTCAGATTTTCTCCCCATTAAGAGCTCTCAGAGGATACTAACCTGATAACTAGCATTAAATTAGGTCGACGAACATCCTACTTCTTAGATAGGAAAAGAACTGACCCCTCCAACCATAAGGTTTGGCAGTCAAGTCAACAGAGCAAAGTGAGAAATGACCAGTATTGGGCTTTCAGGTAGGGAGTTTGGGGGATTGATTTCCATTAAAATAAAATGGAAAGGGAAAGAGCTAGTGATGCCTATTATTTCTCTTGCATATATACAGATAATTTAGCAACATCCAATGCAAGTCACAATCAGGAGAAACTTTTGAAAGTTGATGATGAGATTACAAAAGTTACTGCTTCGATAATTCTTGAAAGTTATGAGCGGACCAAATCTTTTCATATGGATATATGAGTTAATTATGGAAAAAGAAAAAACACCATTTTGTATAATTAAACATTGTCGAGCTCCCCTAGACCAAATGTGAAGGGCAGTTTAAAGTAGCTACCATCATTTTTCATAAGGAGTAGCTACTCCCAGCATTATCAGGGAAGAACAAATCAATAAAGTAGAGACAAGAATATACCTGGACAGCAGAGATACTGATGGCACCATCTAGAACTCCAGGTCGAAGCCCTAAGCCCTAAAACAGATGCAACCTATTATTTAGGTTCATTCAATCAAATGAAGAACAGGTTGCAGGTATATAGGAGATGCAAATTTTGAACTAGCCAATCTTTGAGAATTAGTAACATCCTCATCAACAAGTGTATTGTGTCAAAAGAAAGTAGTTTCACAGATATTTAATTTTCAGAGAAATGCTTACTTAAAAATCCAAAGCAATGTCAATATACACGAAAAATAACCAAGAGAGGCAACCACCTCTTATATCTTTTCTTTTTACCCTCAACCATGACTTACAAGAAAAACCAGGTCAAGCAAAGAAACTGTGCACAATTAATGACTAAAAACATGTTCAAAATGCTTTTGCCTAAAAACACCCAATTATGGCAGGAAGCTACATCTCTTTTTTGTTGGGATGATTAGACTTATGGCCAGACAATACAAGCAAAGTTTATCCGACTGGTTTTTGTGTAAAACATCACATAATATACTGTAGTGATCACCTGCCAGCAAATTTCTATGCAAGTGTGAAATCTCCTATTCTAGTTTCAGGAGTAGCATCACAAACGTAAGCTGGTAAACTAAGATTTAACCACTAGCATGGCCTTTAAAACAGAAAAGAGAGATGCATCAGGAGACATTCCATATAGTATTGGGGAAAACAACAACTAATGTAGTAACAGGTTATTGTATGCTACAAATTACTATGTTCTAATATGTTTTATATAGGTTGATAACTCTGCTTCATCATTACTGTCATGACATCCTTCAATTGCATTTTGAGATTTCCGTATGACTGCAACAATAAGTACTATGGGTATAAAGGCATACATATCCACAAGCAACAAGGTGTATCTGGTCTTAATACCTGCAGTTGGGAGAAAAATGAAGAAATCATGTTGAGATTTTAGGTACCTACCTGACCCATGTCACCAAGTACTAGATCACCATCAACCTGGCGCTCCAGTGCAACGTCTGGAACATGAAAATCATTATCTAACAATAGTTAAACGAGAAAAACTTTTCACTTAGATGACAAGAAATTTACGCACCAAGCATTGACTGTGATATATCCAAGCCAAGCCATTGGTGTCCATGCTCAGTGATTGTTTCACCACTTAGACCTGATCCACATCCTTCAGAATGGAAAACAAGTAATTACTGCCTGGTTGTTTAACTGATAAGGTGGAATAAATACGAAAACCTCACAACTCCACAATTTTTTTTTTATGAGGTAAGATTAAACCTCACAACTCCACAATTGAAAAGATAAAGAACTATCATTGTTCAAAAGACATCTGTTAGAAGGCACGAGGACAACAATTCTGAAAGGTCACATTGAAGGAGCCAACCTTCCGGGAAATTGCTTAACTCGGACCAAATATACTGCAAAACAGTTTCTTACTGATCAACCAAAAGAAAATATTAAACCTTTCCTCATTTATCCAGTATGATGAATGAGCAATTAACCATTTTTATCTACTGTGTGTTTTTCAACAATCTAAGAAGGCCAGTATAGCTCGGTCCTATCTTTGGCACAATCACACATTTCGGAAGGTATCAATTAATTACTCTCCGCATAGTTCATTTGGTTATTGTTAGATTTCCATCACTAGATGTTGTTCTTTTCGCCTCGTTTTCTTATTATCTTGTTCTCGTTACTGCTTGTTGCTACTACATTATTTTCATCTTTTCTTGTGCCGAGAGTCTATTGGAAAGAGTTTTTCTACATTCACGGTAGGAATAAGGTATGCGTACTCACTACCCTCCAAGACCCCACGTGTGGGATTATACTGAGTTGGTTGTCGTTGTTGTTAATGTTGTTGTATAGTTCATTAGGTTTACAATAAGCCAGTTTTTTTCTTTAACTATCTTAAAATGTACATGAGGCTTTTACGATGCTTCAATTACAATTCACTAAACACTAGTTTTTATTCGTGTAATGCTATAAAAACAACTCCCTTTCTCTTTATTCACCCCCAAAAAACAAATCCATAGCTAAAACTTAGCTCATCAAATTCACAAATACAACTACACAGTAAAACAAGTGTATACCAATATCAAGAAGTAATCTTGGGGCTCCATCATCTGGTAAGGCAAGAAGCTCCAATGCTCTCTCTGTAAGTTGCGACTTTTGCATAATTACAAACAAAAGTCAGCTAAGTATCCAACGCTGTGAATGGAATAATCTTGTTTTATTATAGTATAATAAAGCACAAACCTGTATGTCGATTATTCGAGAAGATGAAGTGTACTTGCGAGCTTCATCATCGTTGTAGAATATTTCCGGCGGCGCTAGGAGCTCCGGTCTTGATGTCGACATTTTCTTCACTCAGAAGTCAGTGTGGAATTATGGGTATTTTATTTAACAGAGTCAACTGGTGAAAAAGGATTTGGTTTTAAAGATAATAAAGTATGGTTCCAAAACCCTAATTTTTCAGTTATGGTTTCTGCTATTTATTTTTTATGGAGTAGTTGATTTGGGGCCTTGTTTTCTTTTTTCATTTAGATCCCTACATTTTCAGTTTAATCTTTTATTGCCTGGTTATTCTGCCTTCACACTATATGAAAGAGAGATTTGATTTTATTATTTTATAATCTATTTCAAATATTTTTTAATTTTATGTTTATTTTACAGGAGATTACTAAAAAAATATGAAATATTTATTGCCTTATTTTTTTCTATTCTGATGGTAAATGGCAGAAGAGATACTAGTAATTTCCTCCCGTATGAATAAACAAAATTTTATCCTCCATTTCTTGGATTTCATTCAGAATTTTTTCCTTGATTTTTTTTTTCATTTTTTTGTGTGAATTCTCTAGAGGCAAATTAAGGACTTGGGGGACTCTATCATTCTCATCTCTCGAGCCTTGAAAACTGAGAAAACGAGACATTAATTTGAAGATTTTCTTTTTTTTTGTATATTCAGCAAAACGTGTGTTTAGTCACTGTGCATACTTATGATTATATTCAAAAGGAATGAAATTGTACATAAAATAAAATACAAGGAAGGAAGAAATAATTAAAAATACATTATGTAATGTGCTGACCACTATGGGAATATTATGAAATAATGTAGCGGTGGAATAAACAATTAAAGTACATGGTGTAATGTGCTGAGCACTAGGAAAATATTCTCGAACAATGTAGTAATTGTACTTCATAATCAGAAAATCCTAGATATTTTTCTGCAAAGCTTCATTATCTCCAACCCACCCCCCACCCCTCAAGTTGGAGGGGGAAGGAAACACACCCACTTGCCTAATAAATCACGATGAAGAGGTCATGTGAGTGGTTTTGTGAAGAGATCCGCCAACTGGGCAGAAGATCGAACAAAAGATAATGAAATCAGCCTAGCTAGATATTGTTCTCGCACAAAATGATAAGTCAATTTCAACGTGCTTCGTTCGTTCATGAAAAACGGAGTTTTTTGCTATGTGAATTGCTGTTTGGTTGTCGGAGTGAAGGGTGACTGGAAGAGAAATAGGAATTGACAGATCCTCAAAAAGACGAACCAACCATGTAAGCTCTGCAACCACTCGCCTCATAGATCGGTATTCTGCCTCGGCCGAACTAAGTGAGATTGAAGTTTGCTTCTTGGATTTTCAAGAGATCGGAGAGGTGCCAAGGGAAATGTAAAAACCACTCACCGACTTCCTCGAGTCCGGGAAGGTTGCCCAATCGTAATCACAAAAGGCTAGGAGTTTGAATGATGAGGAAGAAGACATAAAGATCCCAAGCCCAGGATCTTTGAGCAAATAGCGAAGCACACGAAATGATGCATCTAGGTGTGGTTGTCTTGGGTCCTACATATACTGGCTGAGGTGCTGGACTGTGAAGGACAAGTCTGGCCGGGTGTGAGTGAGGTAGTTAAGTTTTCCAAGGAGATGATGATTCAAGGTGGGATCCTTCACTAATTCCCCTGTTTGAGTAGACAGACGAGTAGATGAATCAAGTGGAGAAGAAACATGTGGCAAAATGAGGGAGACAAACTCTTGGAGAAGGTCTAAAGTGAATTTGCGCTGAGAAAGGATGAGTCCATCTGTTTCTCGGATAACTTTCATCCCTAGAAAAAAATGTAAGTCCATGAGATCTTTAATTCTGAATTCTTGATTGAGAAATTCTTTCAATGCATGCAATTCTGCACTGTCATTTCCGGTCAAAAGTATATCATCCACATAGATAGCCACTATAGAAATGGAAGAATCTGACTTTTTAAAGAACAAGGAATAGTCGTTTAACGAGTGAGTGAATCCCTTAATGTTCAAAGCAGCTGTAAGTTTAGTATACCACAGTCGAGATGCCTATCGTAGCCCATAAAGCGATTTCTTTAACTTGCATGCATGAGTAGGTGAAGGGGGTACAATCCCGGGTGGGAATTTCATATACAATTCTTCGTTTAGGTCTCCACGCAGGAAAGCGTTATTCACATCTAGTTGGTATAGACCCCATCCTTTCTTTACTACAGTGGCCAATATGCATCTGATTATGGTCATTTTCACCACGGGTGAAAAAGTTTCATTGAAGTCTATGCCCTCTTTCTGTATGTCTCCTCTAATGATTAATCTTGCCTTTAGTCTTTCCACACTGACATCTGGATGTTGTTTAACCTTATAAACCCATTTGCATGGTAAAGCTTTCCTCTCATGTGGTAATTCAACCACTTCCCAAGTCTTATTAAGTTTATCCATTGCTTCTTGCCACCCTGGGTGATGTGTTGCCTGTAAATAGTTGAGAGGTTCTTGTATATTGGACAGTGTGTTTATCATGTGCTGATTAGTAGAAGATAGTCCACTGAAAGATATACAAGTAGGTGTAACAGGTGTGAGAAAGCAAGAGTTGCTAACATCTGTAAGTTGGAGTGCATTACAGATATAATCCTTGAGATAAGATGGAGTTGTGTGTGGTTTGGTAGACTTCCTAATAAGAACATCCATCATATGATCAGAATTTAGAGAAGGAAAAACAGGTATACCTGTTACACCTATAGGTTGCGGTAAGAAGGCAGTCACCCCAGTATGATATAGGTAGGTGTGATTGGTATAACAAGGCTCTGGATGTGTCTAATAGATGCTTGTGCTTTCTCTCCACAACTCCATTTTGTTGTGGTGTGGACACACAAGTGGTTTGATAAATAATATCTTGTGACTGAAAAAAATCTGACTAAATGTTCTCACTTCCCAATTCAAAGGCATTATCTAAAATACAACATCTCTAGAAGTGAAGGGCTTTAAATTCTTGAGTTTCAATACTTTGTAACCCTTCTTTCCATGAGGATAACCTAAGAACACACAAGAAGTAGCCGTTGGTTCAAACTTAGTTTTATGATTTGAGAGAGTGGAAGCAAAACACAAACACCCAAAGCATCTAAGGTTAGAGTAATTTGGCTTGCTTTTAAAGAGAACTTCATAAGGAGTTTTAAATTTTAAAACACTTGAAGGAAGCCTGTTGATCAAATAGGTTGCGGTAAGAAGGCAGTCACCCCAGTATGATATATGTAGGTGTGATTGGTATAACAAGGCTCTGGATGTCTCTAATACATGCTTGTACTTTCTCTCCACAGTTCCATTTTGTTGTGGTGTGGACACACAAGTGATTTGATGAATAATACCTTGTGACTGAAAAAATTCTGATTGAATGTTCCCACTTCCCAATTCAAAGGCATTATCTGACCTTCTAATTTTGACCTTGCTGTTAAACTGCCTTTCTACCATGGCTAGAAAGCCTTTTAGAATAGTGAATGCATTGGATTTGTTGGTTAGTAGATAAGTCTATGTTCATCTACTGAAATCATCAACAATTGTAAGAAAATACTTAAAACCATCATATGTAGCACTATTGTATGGTCCCCAGGTATCCACATGAATTAATTTAAATACTTTCTTCGTAGAAATAGAACTATAGGGAAAAGGAAGTTTGGATTGCCTTGCCATAGGACAAATAACACATGAAGTGGAAAATTTAGAACAGTTGGATATAGAAACTGATGAAATATTTTTCATATTGCTAAGGGGCATATGGCCTAATCTGTAGTGCCACAGCTTTTTCTTTACACTTGAATCAGAACAATTAAAACATTGACTGTAAACCATGATTGGAAACAGAATTCCTTCTTGGAATTAAAACTCTTATAAACTTAGGTGAACTCTTAGACATTATTTTTGTATGTCTGGATCTGAGAATGTAGAGGCCTACTTCTTCTTTATCAATATCCAGTGGGCTCTTCATTGAAGGGCCCTGCAGAAAGAAATATGAAGAGGGAGTGAATAAAATATATTGCTTGAGTTGTCTGCACAACTTGTGCACAGACAACAGATTATATTTAAATGATGGAATGTAAAGAACATTTCGCAGAATCAGATTACGCAAAAGAGAAACGGTTCCTGAATGAGTGACTTTAACTTTGTAAGAGTTTGGGAGTTTAACCATGAGAGATTCAGGCAAGATTTTTAAATATGTGAAAGATTATTTGTTGAAAGACATATGTTCCGTTGCTCCACTATCCAATATCCAAGAATCATCATTGATTTGAATTAAACAGGCAAAAGAGTCAAAGAAATTGGTTATATCAGCACAACTCACTTTTGCTGCAACATCAGAGGTTCCTGCATTGTTTTGTCCCATTTTCACTTGCTGAAGAAGCTGCAGCAGTTCAGCCACATTCTCCTTGGTAAGATTTTGACCTCCTGTTGCATTTTCTGCTCCCTGTTCACTTTTCTCATTTGAAAAAAAAGCGTTGTTTTCCTGGGCACCTCCCTTAAACTTTTTCTGCTTTGTGAACTTGAAATCTGCTGGAAACCCATGAATCCTATAGCATTTGTCTATGCTATATCCAGGCTTCTTGCAATAAGAATAAATTCCCGCATTTTTCTTAGATTCAAAACTTGTTTTCTGCATCATGTTCTCATTAAATTTTCTGAAGTTTCCTGGTTGATTTGAAACAATAAATGAGGCAGATTCCCCTGAATATGCAGGGGTAGCATGTATCTCCCTTTGTTTCTCATCTTGAATCACAAGAGAGTATGCATGTCCAATGGAAGGTAAAGGTGATGGCAACAAAATATTGCTCCTTACCCCAATAAATATGTCATTCAGTCCCATTAGGAACTGCAGTAGTCTCTCATCTTAGTGTGCTTTCAAGCTTTTGACTTTTGTTCCACACTCACACTCACAAACACAAGTAGAAAATGTGTTGAGTGCATCTAGTTCATCCCATAGGCTCTTCATTTTGGTAAAATAAGCTACCACACTTGAATTTCCTTGCACCACTAAACTTAGCTCCTTTTGTAGATGGAACAACTTTGCTCCATTTGCTTGACCAAATCTGTCTTCCAGGTCACTTCATAAATCCTTTGTACTCTGTGAATAGAGAACACTCTCAGCTATCTCTTTGGACAGGGAGTTGAGCAGCCATGAAAGTATCATGTCATTGCATCTAGC